GGGGTCGGGGCTCCGGTGCCGCCCGTGCAGGCCCCTTCCTTAAACTCGGCTCGCTCCTTTGACACCGATGCGGTAGCGTCTGCAGAGCGAAAATACATTTCTAGGCCCGAGCAGTGCACCAGCAGCGTCGGAAAAGGCCCCGCCATGCGGTGCTGCCAAATGCTGGGACAGGACAAGGGGGGGTGGTTTTAAACTGAAGCTGGGGAGGGTTAGGCTGGATCTAAGGAAGAAATTCTTTACCATGAGGGTGGTGAAAGCCTGGCAGGGGTTGCCCAGAGAGGGGGTGGAGGCCCCATCCCTGGGAACATTCCAGGCCAGGTTGGCCGGGGCTGTGAGCAACCTGATGTGGTTCAAGGTGTCCCTGCTCCTGCGGGGGGGTTGGGCTGGGTGACCTCTGGGGGTCCCTTCCAACCCAAAACATTCTATGATTCTATCATTCTATGCTGGCCGTGATCCCTGATTTTTCTCATCCACCTCACTGAAGGCAGCTAACCTGACTTGTAGTTCAATCTTTGGTGGGAAATAAAATCAGGAGAGACTTGGAGCAGAACAAATAGCAGTATTTCTTTAGAGAAATAAATACCCGAACCATAATACTGTTACAGCACCAACACTCATTCTTTCAACTGCTGCTGCCAGCTCTGCATTGAGTCTTGGGCAAGACACGCGAGTCACCCCATTTTAAGGCAGCTACACTTCTAACATCAAAGTTGGCCTGGTTGTTTCCTTTTTTTTCCGTACATATCTTCCTCTTCCCCTCTAAAGAGATCTTGGTAGCCCTAGTAGTAAGTCTGAAATGACAGAAAGTGTACAGACACAGTGCCTACAGCTACCCCTCTCTCTCCCACAGGTGGTGGCTGTGTATGGGACTTTATCAGATTTGCTGTCTGTGGCCAGTAATAAGCTTGGAATAAAAGCGACCAGTGTTTACAATGGAAAAGGTGGACTCATTGATGATATCGCTTTGATTAGGTAAGGCTTAGCCAATAAAAGTCAAATCATGGATGCAGATTAAGAGACTTAGTAGCCTATTAATCCTCTGAGCTTAATCAATAACCAGTGCTTTCCTTAAAACCAGATAGTATCACTTCCAGCCAGTATGTCCAAAGGCGCTTTCATGCCTCAAGGAAAAACATACTGTCTTTTGAACTTCAAAGCATTTCTGTCTTGATGAATCAGAACTTGATACAAGCTGCATTTTATGCCTTTAAACATCCTCCTGGGTTGATTCACAGTATGTCCCAGGAAAATCCCCCTACTCTAGTCAGCACTTGGATGCGTTTTTTTTGAAAAGGAGACAAACTCTGGCATTACTTTGGCTTTACAATTTACTTGGCTTTACAGAATACTGCCAGAGTGGGGAGAAAAGCAACTGTTTTGTAAAACTAAACTGGTTGAGTAACAGAAGTGATCCCTACCTGGTTGATACAGGTAACATCTCTAGTGAAGTCAGTCCTATTACAGCCCATTGGATCCTGCAAAATTAAGATAGAAATCAGATACTGGCATTCTAACTAGCGGCAACTGATTATCATTTACCTGCAGCTGATCAGGAGGGGTTGCCACCATCAATGGGATGAGCAAAAAATTATGATTAATCTTTCTTTTATTTTTTTTCCCCTTCCCCCTGCCCCATCCTCTCTCAGGGATGATGATGTTTTGTTTGTCTGTGAAGGGGAACCATTCATTGGTAAGTCTGCAATTCTTATGTTTAACCTTTTGTTTAATGGAAAGAGGTTTTGGTTTGTTTAATGTAAATTTAAAATTTTATTTTCTGGTGTTTTCAGAAGATACCTCTTACCATAGGGAGGATTCAGAAATATTCACCCTTTTGCTAATAATTATTGTGTCTTTCTCATCTGTGCAGATCCTCAGACTGATGGGAGACCTCATGAAGAACTAACAGGGTCACACACAGATTGGTTAACACTCAATGTTGGAGGCCGATACTTCACCACTACACGGTAAAAACGCAACTAGTTGGTTTTGTTCTTAAAGGACTTGATTTCAGTAAAGTTGTTATAGCGGCTGGTAATGTACATTCAGTTGGTGAGGCTTCAGGTGCTCTTGAAAAAGAGCTAGAAAAATAATTTACTATGGAGAAGGAGGTCTTTCGCTTGTGCAGCTTTCTCTGTATTTTGTATTTGCTACCACAGTTTTGCAAGAAATTAATTCTTAAAACCGTTTACATATGAAGTAAAAGTGGCGAAAAGCCTGAACAGACCTGGATTTATCCTTGGCGTATTTCAGTTAACTAAGTGCTTTGTATTTAAAATACCTTTACAATACCTCAGGTCAGAAACGTATTCTGCTATCACGCAAATAGGAAATTAAATCAGTAAGATGTTGTAGCTGTCGGAATGTGTCTCAGGCACCATTGCTGCCTTCAAGCTGTCAAGGGCAGAAAACACGCTCCAACCAGCAAGTTTGTCCCTTGAGCAAAACTTCCCATTGTAAAAAGAAAATTGCGCTGCCTTTGTTTTCTAGGAGCACTTTGGTTAACAAGGAACCTGACAGTATGTTGGCCCACATGTTTAAAGATAAAGGTTCGTATATTGAAGTAAACTTTATTTTTTAAGTAACAAATCGGCAAAGTAGGCAAAGGGGGACTATCATGTTGAGCCTCTTGTTCGTAAGTTAAGATACCAAATGTATGTTACAGTATCAAAGCAGGACGTATAATCTTTTCTTTATAATTGTGTATTTCTGCGATGCCCATGTCATGCTTATCATTTCACAAACTGAAAATGTAACTTCCATCCATAGCTAAAATATGGGGGTCTTTTATTGTTTGTTTGATTTCAGGTTTTCATCTTGTTGCATCTTGCTCAGTTTTGTCGACAGAATCAATGA